ATTTCGTTGCGTTTCATTCAACGCTCTCAAAGGGATTCACTTTCGCTTTATCAACCGTATCGGTTACTCTTTCAGTAACGTTCTTAAATAAAATTATCTTTTTACTTTTAAGCTACTTAAAATAAAAACCAGATAATAAATTAGTGGTCGCGATCAAACTTTTTTTTAATTTCATATAAAATTGTTATGGGATATTTTTAATATATGTCTCTTAGGCAGACTTACTTTTTTATACATCACAAAAATCCCTGAAGAAGCATGTCTTTTTAGTCGAATATTACGTAACTAGTTAGCTTTTGTGTATAATTATTTCTTGTTTACAAAATTAGATACGTTTCCGATATGCAAATATAGATAATACATGGAATTTGCAGTTGAAAATTATTTGTTGCAACTCAACACGCCACATGTACATACATGCATCACTCTACCTTATAAATATTCTTTCCATAGTAAAAATACGGCCCACAAAATCATTTTCTGTACAATCTGTGTACATTTGAAAAAGAAAATATCCAAAAAGGTTCCTATCTACACTTGAATATCACAGACCACTTCACATACAGGTGTGCCTGACCCATACCTTTCCCATAGCTGTCACCATGGAGTCCTGTTACCAACGTGTGAACCTTTTCTGTGCGTTCCGTTGTCATCATTTATTATTTAAAAAACGATAGTTTTTAAAAGTCATCGTGTATAGCCACGTCGTTTTTAGTCACAAATTGAGGTCAGTAGTTAGCCTTGAGTCTTATTTTATATTATTAATCTTAAGACTAATAACAATTCTAGTTCACTCATTATTTTATATTACCAGGCAGTGCAAATATCATACAACAAAATACCTTCAAATGAACTCATCAAATCTGTATCAATTCCTACAATTATTAGGTTTTCTCGCAAGAAAAACACAAGAAATAACATCAAAACACCACAATATCAATATATTTTTACGACTGCCCTGTCATATTCCCGTGATTGTTCTAGGAAATGCCTACTCGTTCACACATAGCAACAGTGACACAACTAATAACAAAAGCTCATAACAATTGACATCAAAGATGGCCGCCGCAAATAGTAACCAATAAGCGCGATTGTCTCAAATTCAAGAAACGAACGACCTTCGTCAGTTGCTGCCCAAGCAATCGTCGGCTGTCACGAAATCCCCAAATCCCGCCACGTAGGGATCTGGCGGCTAGTTTTATTTCATTACCGGACAAAACGTCCTGGGATTCCCCAGGATTTTGGCGCCCAACATGGGACTGACAGGTTCCGTTATGATTTTCATTTTCTCGTCTCAAATTGTCGTTGTTTCTCGTCATTTTAATGTAGGAATCATACCTTACACTACATTTTGTTTTATATATTAAGTTGATAATTACAAACATAATTTACATTTCCTATTCCGTCCGTGCGTCAGTGGGGTGTCCACTGAAAATCAGTGCTTGGTGACTTGTATGCCTGGCTTACACTGAGTGGGTGACCCTTTTAGCATATGCATGTTGTCAGCGTCTCTCTTCTATTTATCCTGTTTTAATTTTTTAACTTAATATTTTTCTTACTTCCACTATCAATGCCTTTATTGTCTTTTTATATTTTGTTTACGCTGCATCGTGTCTAGTGCTGAATAAATGTTTTTTGTTTCTTTCTTTCTAGTCTGCCTCGTTGGCCGAGTGGTCGCAAGTGTGACTGCCGGGCAAGGGGTCTTGGGTTCGATTCCCGGGTCGGGCAAAGTATTACTGGGTTTTCAAAAATTCTCAGTAGTAGCACGGAGTCTGAAATTTGTGTCCGGTATGTGGCAATAAGCTCACCCCCTATTACATGGGACTCATAACAAAAATAGTGAAAAGTGGGTGTTCCATTGTACAGTGGCATTAAGCGTCGAAATGTGCACCTATAGGCACCCCTTTTGGGATAAAAAGGCGTGATGTTGTGTTATGTATTTCTTTCTATTATGTATAATAATATCCAACGCTTTTATAACTAGCACAATACAATATAACAGTTCCGTTAAACTTGTAACAACGAGCTAACTTCAAAGCACAACCCTTCACGGTAATTCGAGGGTAGTTATCACACGTTCCAACTTCATACAGCATTTGTCGAAACTATGGCGTCTAGAACACGTACGACCTTGTGCCAACATGTTTCATCGTAATTACATTTTCTTTGTGAGAGTCTGGTCGTTTACATTCTCCTTTTCCATGCTCTAACAGTTTTTCGGCATTTTCGTGTTGCCCTCTTTTAGTCCAGTGCATACGAAAAATATTTTTTTTTTTTTCACGACGCTCAAAATGTTAAGCCTGTTGGGAAATGATATAATACTTTTTGCTCTTTGCTCTAGACGCGATTATGAATGGAAATGAAAAGAGAACTGAATGGGATAAAGTAATCTAATTATTCTTTGCGCTGACGTTTTCAAATTAAAGTTGTTTTTTTTAAACTATGAAATTGGAGACGGTTCTTTAATCCGGAGAATATACTAATTGTGTCCGTACATCTAAAAGTGGTGAAGTAGTTCAGATAATTGTGGAATAGCAAATAACATAATATTATATTACAGTTACAGAAGCTGAACTGAAGAGACTGCCTCGTTGGCCGAGTGGTCGCAAGTGCGATTGCCGGGCAAGGGGTCTCGGGTTCGATTCCCGGGTCGAGCAAAGTATTACTGGGTTTTTACAGTAGTAGCACGGGGTCTGGAAATGTGCCCGGTATATGGCAATAGGCTCACCCCCTATTACATGGGACTCATAACATAAATAGTGAAAAGTGGGTGTTACATTGTACAGAGGCATTAAGTGCCAAAATGTACACCTCTGCCTACCCCTTCGGGGATAAAAAGGCGTGATGTTATGTTATGTTAGTTACAGAAGCCTCATCTAACTACCTCTGTATTATCTGAATTACAGCACACATAGAAATACAGTATGTTATATAGAAAAGCCTTCTAAATACCTAAGGATAAATAACTACATATATGACCATGTCCATAGCGAATATGTGTAATTATCATGTACTTACGTATCTGAATGATATTCTATACTCAAATATTGAATCGAAATATAAGATAGACGCATTATACATATTCATTTGAAGATTCGAGGCAGGTCTTTACACAATTTTTTTTATTAGGTAAGCCGGTATTTGAGCTTATGGATCACTTGATGGTAACCAATCAGCACCACACATGGACACCCGAAACATTATTAAATTAGCCTCACTTCTAAAATGACGGTTCTTTACTTTTTAATTTGGCTGTATACCATAGCCACAGAAACAGCAGAACCTTGTTTATACACGAAAAGTAAAAGTTTGTTCCTAAATACAACTTTATCCTTTGCTCCAACCATAGTCAGATAAAAATATGTTTAACTAACTTCATGCCCGACTTCACTCGGCTTCAAAGTTTTGACATACTGACATCAAAGGAACTTCGTTTTGTATTCCATTGGAGCCATGTCTGCTGTTAACGGAAATAGTACCTTATATCTTTCAAAATGTAGACGGTATTCCTTTGCTGTTAGGCAGATCATCCAAGCAGATAGATTGCCACATTATTCTTCTATTGTGTTAGAAGAAAGGTTAACATTTACTTGTATATCAAAGTTCAGGCTCGATTCTATGTCACGGATAGACAGGTATTTTGAGGGATTTCTAAAAACTAGAAGAGAATAATACAATTATACCACGTCTATATCTAGGCGTAGATTTCTATCATCTCCATAAACATCATCCGCAGAAAGGTATAAACATTATTATCAACAATGTATTCAACAATGTCTAAATAATTCCCAAACTATACTAAGAGCGTCCACTCCACAATAATTTACTCGGAAAATTTTAATGAACGATAGTAAGCACCGCAAACAGGTGTTTCACATCGGAATTCGACTTAATAACCTTAATAACCTCTATGAAACACTATAAAGGCCCCCAAGAGTGCCGGGACCTCTGGCCAGTCCCTAATGGCTCCCTCTCCCTCCTCCTCTCTGCTGTTATTAGGCCATAAATCTCTGTATATGTTTAGCTTGGTGTGAATAAAATACCTTTTAAGACGCCCTCTCAGTCTGCCGAGTAATTTCCTTGTAAGCGTTTTTGTAATAATTTTGAGTGGGTAGTGGGAAGTTTTTTGTTATGATTCCGAGGGTATTTTGAGAATGCTTATCTTTCTATTTTTGACGTGTTTTATTGTGATATTTTTGTGAAGAGGATCGGTGGAAACGAAATGTTGTTCTCATTTACGGAAAGCCTTAACGCTTCCTGGTTGACACTAGATGCATTAATTCTTTTTGATTTCAAAATATAAATTCAGGACAAAACAATGTTAACTAAAAATCGCGGATAACTCACGTGAATATACTAACACATACTAGCTCTACAGAGGGGTTCTTACTCATGAGCAGCGTGCGCGGTCGCGGCGATATCGCGCAGCCTACAGCTACAAATTTAGTATGTCTCACGATAGTTATTATAAAAACATAACAAAACAATGTTATTAAAAATGTATCAAAACACACATGACGCATCTTTCCACGGTGGAATAAATAGCCTCCAAAACTTTTTCTTTTACCGAACTAAAAGCCTAACGTTACTTCAAAAAGGCACATTAGACTATATTTTGGTGGCGCGACCTCTTCGAGGGAAAATCTTAAAGCACTCATGCGAGTGCGACCAGCTGATCCCTCCAGAGACCCACCGACTCACAGTTAGAATATTTAGCTACAATATTTATGTACCCAAGTCCTTGTACGAGGCCAGCGTTTTAGTGTTCCACGATTTATGTAATGCTATTTTCTATGTTATGTACCACTGGGTACATACATAAGTTAGCTATATGGTCAAACGAATATGAGTCTTAAAAATGGCTATTTATACTACATTTAAGAAAAAAGTAGCATCCATGAGTCGATTTATTTTGAAATTCGTATCGACACTTCCAAATTTTAATTTTAATCGTAATCTTTCCGTTTTGTTATTTTGACATGTGTTTCTATCTCTTTCAGGTACATTGCAAATAGTGAAGAGTGAAGAGGAGGACCACGGCAAGTTCGAGTGCGTCGCTGAGAACTCCATCGGAACTGAGTTCTCGAAGCCTACAGTACTTTATGTTAAAGGTAAGTCCCATGTATCTACTAGGTTCTTCAGAAGATTTTGTTTCTAGCCGGTTTCGGCAAGTTTTCGAAAGTATGCATACTCAGAAGCGCTAGAGTAAAAGCTAGCGCGCAAAAACTAAAACCCTCAGTAGGTTAAATTGTAATTTAAAAGCAAACTTTAAAAACAACTCATTACCTAGTCAGTTTTTTCTAATAATCTGAAAACGATACTCTTCGTCATCCCCTGTGACATACTTCAAACAACAAGAGTTATAATTTTCACCACCGCTTAAGAAATATTTTCACTTCTAAGATATCATTGAAAAGAGGTCAAACCGCATCAAAAGGACCATGAAGTTTTCCCCCTACAAAGTCAGACCCCTGCGGTCAAATTACCTAATGATCACCGATTAATGTTCTCACGCAACCATCATTACGATAGACAGGGACACAACATACTTCCCCCATACTTCAGAATGAGAGGTCCGATGCCATTTGTCTATAACCAGCATGTTTGTCGTTTAGGGCAGTTGGGGCGGAAATATTTTAAACAAAATGGGGTGCTCTGAAATTGTGGTGAATAATAAATTGTTACTTAAATTGGTAGTTTAAATTGGATCGTGCGGACTATATGTGGAATATTGGTTTTGGAGTACGCACTGTTAAATGGAAGCAAACTTTCGACTGTTGATGTTAGGGTGAACTTATTTGTTAAAATATATTTTTCTTTTTTTTTTTTTTTTACCGCAACCGACTGCCGAAATAATTGTATTTACCGCAACCGACTGCCCGACCGCTTTACCAGAACCAGACCCGAGCGTATGGTGCGTCGCATTCCGCGCGCACCTCAAAGAGCCATCAGACCACTACGGATGAGGCCCAATAGGGCTGATGCCGAATACGGAACTGCGGAGGACTTAACGGGTTTCCACTATTCGAGCTCGAAGTGTAGGAATAGGAACGGGGTGGTTTTTAATCAGTAAGAGTATGACACTCCCTTCCGCCTCACACAGGCGGGAGAAGTCATGCTATGATTATCGACCTTTAAACATAACATCACGCCTTTTATCCCCGAAGGGGTAGACAGAGGTGTTATGAGTCCCATGTAATAGGGGGTTTTTTTAAAACCCCGTAATACTTTGCCCGACCCGGGAATCGAACCCGAGACCCCTTGCCCGGCAGTCATACTTGCGACCACTCGGCCAACGAGGCAGAACTTAAAAAAAAAGTAGAGCACCTTTAAAAAAAAGGAGATTTGCTCCATTCATCAAATACATAGGTGAAACCTAAGCGCTGTATATAGTTAAATCACATAGTCATAACTAAAAAACATTCTCCACTTAAATAGGCTACGTGGAAAGTAGACCACGCGTATCTGTCGTAGACATAATATTCACAATATATTTACGAGATAACGTCGCGGTCCCGTCGCGTCCCCGCCGCGTCCCTGCCGCGTCCCCGCCACGTCCCCGCTAACGTGTCGCCTCTAACTTTCATACATTAAGATAAAAGGGACTGATTGCATTGTTAAATACTTGTAACTGTACTTCATGGGTGTTGTTCTAGATTTTCTGAATTGATCTATTTATTAAGTGTGGGGGATCGTATTGTATGAAGGTGTGGTCTGAGCACCTCATGTTGTATATGAAGGCCTTTATTAGTTATTTATTTGGAAGATCTCTAGTTAATCAAATCGGATAGGCAGAAATGGTCTGACCATAGGACTGAATGCGAAATGCAATGCATTCTCAACTGTTTAATTTAAATGGGCCGACGTTTGACCACTATCTCGCTTGGTGGTAAGCGATGATGCGGTATACGATGAAGCACGTCGTCCCATAAGCCACCTATTCACTAGGGCCTTGAAGATTCTCTTCTATTTTAAATCGATGGTGCTATGTGACATCCATAATAAAATAGCGATTATTTATTCGTTATTTATATAATAATTTTGTACATCGTTTTTAAGAAGTAGAAATAGACTTGCTCCAGTTTCGTTTTAATGGTTTAATGCCCTAAGTCTAATTAAGCCGACACATTTTCTGTTATGAACCATTATAGATAAGTCATTATCAAAAAACACATATCATATAAATACCACTCTGTTTCACCACATACCATTTGCGTGACTCACACCAATTCAGGGAGCATACTAGTGCAAGTTAGCCAATTTAGTTAGTTAACTTTTGGTGATAAAACGAAGTGCCCAATTCATATGGAACTGCATATGTGAACACGATGATATCTCTCTAATTTATCTCTGTACTAACGAAACTTAACTACGTAACATACACTTATTGTAGTCTGTGAAACCTCGAATGTGGTCTAATAATTATGTTGGACTAGCTTTTGTGAACGGTTTCGATACAAAACTGTTCATAATCGAGTACAATGCCATCTTTATTTTGTTTCAAGGCATAATTAAAGGACAGAATAAAATATAAACCGTAATAGGATGTAACTCGTGACTATTAACAGGTTATTTTTAATTAGCAGAGTAAAAAAACGTATAGCGACTTCTTTTAATTCCTATAGACGATTCTAAAACAAAATAACTACAACCAACATCTAATAGCGAATGAATAAAATTCATTATTATTTTGACCTCTCAATCATCTGAACGCAGTTTCCAATTTCAGCCACTAAATCCAAAAAGTTACTTAAAATGCATAGCTTCTAAAAATCTCATCTATCTTTCTACCAAAATCAATTTCAGTGGACTACAATCTGAGATAGAAAACTACAATCTGAGATAGAAAAGTAGATCTCCAACAAATGCATTGCGAGTTTTTAAAACAAAGAGTTTGTCGAAATCTTTGTGTAATCATTCGGGGTGACTAAATGATGTAAGGCATGAGCTGTAGCGGAGAAGAATTTATAGAATCACGTCCTTAGACAAATCTTATATAGAATTAATATGTATTTATTTCAAAAATATAACATGAATAGTCTTTTGATTTTTAATAGTTAAATGAGGTTAGACGTACACATGGTCAATTTAATTTAGAAATTGAGAGTTTGCTGCTGATCAAATTACTAGTAGCTAGAATAAAAATGTACCCTCAAAAATTTCATTCATTTAAATCATCGTTTATCATATTTCCATCACAATTCATCATCGTCGATTTACATATTTTTACAAAACACTGACACTATAACTTTTAGACCAATTTCGAAAAAACTCAAGTCTTTCAAAGTAACTGTATGATTAACATGTTATATATATGTTACGTATATTGTATATATATCACGTCTTTTGTCCCCGAAGGGGTAGTCAGAGGTGCACATTATGGCACTTAATGCCACTGTACAATGTAACACCTAACACCCACTTTTCACTTTTTATATTATGTGTCCCGTGTAAAATACGTTGGTGACCCTACTTCCATATACCGGACACATTGCCAGACCACGTGCTACTACTGAAAAACTCAGTAACACTTTGCCCGACCCGGGAATCGAACCTGAGACCCCTTGCCCGGCAGTCGTACTTGCGACCACTCAGCCATAGTTATTACTAAACCTATCTTATATATATATACTTTTGATATCACAATTTCATACTGGACTCTTTTAACCGATATTGGCAAATCGATATCAGGAGGTCTACTCTGATTCGACGAAAAACGAAGTTTCGGACGAAACTTCGAACATTACCTACCACAATGGCATTTGTTACGAACGAAAAAGGAATGAAACAAGCCAGAAATTAGTATGAGATGTACTGTTTGACATCGATATTTTCGGAACCCTACTCTAATTGTACAATCCGCACGAACGAAAATTCGAGTTTGACAGATTATTCTTCGGACGTTTAATGTCATTTCGACGAAACCAAAATAGTTATCGTTTGATTTTCGTTTGGGTTAAATTTATTGAAAAATGAAGGAAAGTAATTATAAGTCTTCGTTTTGTCACGGTTTCTTTGTGTGGGCAACACGTAGGGCACCAAAGGAACTACTTAAATGACGATATAAAATCAATGTACAGTCAGCTCAAATAGTTTGTTAACACGAACCTATATATTTTATATGTCTATGAGAGTTAGTAACATTTAGGGTAATCAAATACTTATTTGAATACCTTATGTATTGTACATAAATGTTTCATGTGTAATGTTTTATTTTAAAACTAATAATACCGCTTGAAAAATTAACTTAAGTATTGCTAATATATATTTTCGCTATTCTTTCACATCTATTAATATACCAACATTTATAGATAAGATAAATTCTTTCAAAAATATATTGTTAATCATCATAACACGAAATAATTTAGTCTCTTCAAATTCTCATGTAGACATTTATAATTTTTAAACTGACTGTACTAATATAATACGAATAAATTTGGTTGTCATTATTTTATACATAAATGTCAATAAATGACAATAAAACAACATTCTAAAACTTTTTAATTTGGTCGTATAATAAATTTCTGAAAGGAGGTTCTTATCCTGTTTAAGATTCTCCATCTTAAACGTTAATATTAAAAGATTATTCATGATTTTCTTGATGATTATGTGTGGTAAGCCATGGCATTATTATTTTAGTAATATAATTACTTAAAATAAAATTTTATATTTAATTTTGAATCTAAACCTACTTATTGCATATTTATTTATCTTCACTTCATTCGTTCATTGTAGTTCACGAAAGTTGTCTATGGTTCCGAAAACGTTGTTTGCCGCCGCAAATCAAACGAAACTTCGCATTCGAGAACCGGAGTAGACCTACAGTTCTTTATTACTTTTGGAAGCACACGAAAAAAACCCCGAAATTCTTAAAAACTCATAGCAATATGTCAAAATTCGTAGAAATCCGTAACAGTTCGTGGTTTCGAACCACACGACAATATAGAAAGAAGTCTCAGAAGCCGAGTCTTATTGAATTAGTTGGCAACTTGACGAAAGGGACTGTTATTTTCATCTCGGAACAATCCCTCCTTTCAGCTTTTATTTTTATAAAAACTTTCTCTTTGTTATTTACAATTTGTTTAAAATCTTCCTTCTTTTATGTCTCTGT